TTTGGCTGGGGGCTGGGTTTGAACCCGCCATCTCCAGCGTATCGGGCTGGCGCCCTACTCCTTTGAGCCACAGGTGCTGCCCATGGCCTACATTTTTTAAAGTATAACAAAAAATATGTAAGCACTCTGGGAGGCCGAGGTGAGTTGACTGCTTGAGCTCAGGAGTTTGAGACCAGCCTGAGCAAGAGTGAGAATCTATCTCTACTAAAAATAGAAAAAAACTGTATGGGCACTATGGCTCACACCTATAATTCCAGCTATTCAGGAGGCTGAAGTAAGGGGGTTGCTGGAGCCCAAGAGTTTGAGGTTGCTGTGAGCTATGATGATGCCATGGCACTCTACACAGGGCAACTGAGTGAGCATCTGTCTCAGACAAATAAAATCAAATAAAAAAAAATATATGTACACATGTACATATGAGTTCTGTGCTGACTTTCTTTTTTTAATTTTCTTTTTTCTTTCTTTTCTTTTTTTCTTTTTTTTTTTGAGACAGCCTCAAGCTGTCCCCCTGGGTAGAGTGCTGTAGCATCACAGCTCACGGCAACCTCCAACTCCTGGGCTCATGAGAGTCTCCTGCCTCAGCCTCCCAAGTAGCTGGGACCACAGGCTCCCGCCACAACGCTTGGCTATTTTTTTGGTCACAGCCTTCATTGTTGTTTGGCGGGCCCAGGCTGGATTTGAACCCGCCACCTTAGGTCTATGTGACTGGCACCTTAGCCACTTGAGCCACAGGCTCCGAGCCTGGATAACTTGTTTCTGTGAAGACCTCAGAATAAAGCTTCTCCTGACATTTCCACCAAGTTGTTAAAACTCTAACCATTTGCCCTTAGTTACTTATGAAACTCAGTATTTTTTACTTACCCACTAACTAAAACAGCCACAGGAATAAGCTGAATGCTGGCACTCAGATAAAACCACAACCATCCCCTGTAACTAAGGTTTTTCAAAGTTTTAGTCCATCAAAATGTCATCACTGTTCCCACTGATTTACTGTATGGTAAGTAAAGGTTATAAGTTTTAATTTATAAAATAAACTTACAAAATATTGCTTGTATCTATTTTATCTATCAGAATTTGGAGTAGCTTTTAGTTGAGGGAGAAAAAAGTTCTACTAAAAGAAAAAATTTGAAAATCATTTTTTTCTTTGAGACAGAGTCACCTCGGGTAGAGTGCAGTGGTGTCATCATAGCTCACCTCAACCTCAAACTCCTGGTCTCCAGGATTCTCCTGCCTCAGCCTCCCAGAGTGCTAGGATTGCAAGCCTGAACCCCTGTGCCTGGCGAAAACCACTTTTCTAACACTGGGTATACAGCTAAGAGAGTGACAATCTGATCACTGAGTATGTGGTCAACCTCTGGAAGCTAGAACACTGAGCTGGTGCCCAGGAGATATTTGTCGAAAGAATGAAGGGAAATGACCTGTTGCACACTAGAGACTGGATAGTGCGTGCAAACACCTCTCTGCTCCCTCCTTTTCCTCTTCTCTTCTCCCCTTTCCTTCTGTCCCACGGCTTCCCAGGAGTTGGCACCAATTTAGAGAGCTGGGGGCCCATAAGACTCTGAGATCCGGCCACACACCACTAACACCTTGGGCAAGTTATTTCTGCTCTCAACCCAGTGGGGGGAAAATGGGTAGAATTAGGCTTGGGGCCCAATCCTAAGAGAAGCTGGGAGGATCAAAGAAGACCTCAGCAGGGAGGTTGTTTGAAATGTTAACAGGGCTGAGGTTGATGCCAGGAGCCTGGGATTAGGGGACACAGGAATGCTGGCTGGGATCTGCACCCTCCCCCACCAAACCTGAGGGCCTTTCGCTTTGCAGGATTGCTTTGCCCTCTGCTCTAATTTTGGCCCTTCCAATTGGTCTAAGAATTGAGGGAAGCCTTAGGTGCTCCTACCCCCAGGCTCTCTGTCGCTTCCTGGTCCAGGAGGCACAGCCACACCTTGGCAGGGCTGCCCTGTCTGCAGTGAGTAGTCTGTGCTGGAAGGGGAGAGGCCAGGCCCAGCAGGGGACAAGCCAGCTTCTGAGGAAGCCGGTCTCCTAAGTGGAAGGGGGGTTTGGGAGTGTGCGACCTCTGGGGTGGTCTTAGGGTTTCCAAATACAGACTGGCAAAGCTGGAGGGCCCTGGGACTGCTGCCTCAAGCCTGGTTAGTGCTAGTTTCTCCCTGGGGACAGACTGGCAGTTTCCTGCCTGGTCAGGTGATAGCCTGGCTCCAGGTTGGACTTTGGGCCCTGTCAATAGGGACTGTTGCCTGCAAGGCCAGGAAGAAATGTAGCTGAGCTGAACAATCATTAATCTAGGGGCAGGTTCCAGCTGTAGCTGAGACGCTGGCTGGCCCTTCCCAGGCTAGCTAGGCCTCCAAAGCATTAGGTCAGAGGACAGGAGGGAAGGCTGGGGCTGTTGATCTGAAGGTGGTCCAGGCTGGTGCTAGGAATGCCTGAGTGCTAGAGTTAGAAGCAGAGAAGGGACTACAACCTTGACTTTACCTCATTCCCCTCCTTCCTCTCCCTACCTCTAAATCAGAGGATCCAATCTGTAGTTTACTCCTACAGGAGAGGTCTAGTTTGAGGGGAACCTTCCCTGAGCAAATACGAGCCACCGGCAGGGCCAATTTCTTCACAGGCATGCAAACAGTGGCCCATTGCTCAGAAAGGCCCTGTACTTGATTGAATGCTTTGCTGTTGCCTCTTGAAATTCTTTTTTTTTGAGACAGAGCCTCAAGCTATCCCCCTGGGTAGAGTGCCATGGCATCATGCTCACAGCAACCTCCAACTCCTAGGCTCAAGCGAGTCTCCTGCCTCAGCCTCTCAAGTAGCTGGGACCACAGGTGCCCGCCACAATGCCTGCCCATTTTTTGGTTGCAGTCATCATTGTTGTTTGGTGGGTCTGGGCTGGGGATTCGAACCCGCCACCTTAGGTGTATGTGGCTGGCGCCTTAGCCGCTTGAGCCACAGGCGCCGAGCCGCCGCTTGAAATTCTTAATAATTTTTGAACAAAGGGCCCTGCATTTTCATTTTGTGATGGGCCCTACATATTATTTAGCTGGGTCCTGGACATTGAAAGAAGGAGGTACTGAAAGGGTTGATGGGGGATAAGATTCCTCTTCTGACCACCCTTTCCAAATGTCAAAGTATGTTTGTTTGCCTTCCTCCCCTCTCCAGGCATCCAGACTTTATCCACCAGGTCAAGGCCCAGGGTATCACTCACTGTGTTTGCAAGTCTCAGCCCTGTCTGTAACAGCTTTCCTTCAATGCTTACCAACTAACAGAGGCAGAGGTGGGTCCTTCCCTCTAAATATCCTGCAATGTGATAGTGAGTGCTATCTACAGAGTGTCAGGGCTGGCTGGGCTGGGTGTCTGGACAAATGGGCCTTGCCCTCATGCAGACCATGACCAGAAAAAAGTTGTGTGACCAGGGTTAGGTTGGGTGACAAACTAAAACTGGTGGGATAATCACAGGCCCTTCTGGGGATAGAGGGAGAGGGTCTAACAGTGCTGAGCCCACAGCTGGCCCCTAGGGCAATTTATAGCTTCTGGGGCCTTGGACAAGGGAAGACTCAGATGCTCCTCTTGCCTTGTCTACAGCTAACCACCTCTGTGCTCTTGAGCAATCTCTTGAAATCTCCTGGCCTCGATTTCTCTTCTGTGCTAGGGGTAACACTTCCTGCTCTGCTTCTGTCTCAGCTTGTCTTGAGATCAGGTGATATCAAAGGGTTTGGTCAGCTATAATAAAGAGCCAGGGGCCTGGAGGAAATGACCACAGCATTTCCAGGATTCTTTTGGCATCCTAGCTCACAGCAACCTCAAACTCTTGGGCTCAAGCGATCCTCTTTCCTCAGTTTTTATTTATTTATTTATTTTATTTTTAGTAGAGACAGGGTCTCACTCTTTGCTCAGGCTAGTCTTGAACTCTTGAGCTCAAGCAATCCACCCTTCTCGGCCTCCCAGAGTGCTAGGATTACAGGCGTGAGCCCACTTATTTTCAGGATTCTTTTTTTTTTTTTTTTTTTTT